ATCTTACCCCATCTTTTGTCAAGAAAACGGCTATGGTATAAATGAGAAAACTAATAAGAAAGGTGGTCCATAAAGAAAGGGGTAACATATTTAACATAGTAAGGACACCAAGGGAGATTGCTGTTACATTCAATTGATTTCAGTTCATTCGCACAGTGCAATAAATCCTTCATGCACAATTGAAAAAGATGCAGTAAAACAGCCAGAAAAAAGTCCTCTCCTGGGCAATGTTCAGTTAGTCATCCGTTTTTGTTTGTTTGTGTGTTTGTTTTTTAGGGTTTTTTAAATCTTATCATGTTCATGGATGTTCCTTACTGCTGTATCAAAAAGAAATTAAAAAGTAATGATAACATACCACGTAAAGACACACTTGCAGCATCACAGGGATGCCTCTAAAATATTTTAAAAGGTCACCTGTACAACCATACAAGCCCTCTCAAATGTTCCAAGAGTGTCTGAACCATTAAAAAACAGTATCTTTTAAAAAGGGGTACTATTGTGGAACATTTAATCTTTTATTACATTTGCACAGGCAAGGAGAGGGTATGGACAACCTGCCAGCTGTGCAGCTATTAGTCTTGCTTCAGGTCCCAGCTCTCCCCAAACCCTACCAGATTTCCCCTCTCTTCCCCTTGCACCTGCAACTCCTCCTTCCCTCCCTCCCTGCCAGACCCCTGCCAACTCCAGGGGCCATCTGTAGAGGTAAGCCATCCAGTCCCAGTTCTGTTTAACCTTTCTATTTAGCTGAAAGAGGGAGAGGAGAGCTAGCAGGGGTTGGAGCTGAAGCATCAAACTCCCACTGCCTGGGTTGGGGAGACCAACCACTGCTTGCTTCCCCACTCCCCCTTTCCCTCTCTTCTCCAGCTTTCTACTCTCCCATCCCCTCCATCTCTTGCCCCTGTGAGGGGAGTGGGAGGGTAGGAGACAGGACAGCAGAGCTGCAGATCATTACAATCTCCTCTAGCTCTGCCTGGGTGACACTAGAGGAGGCTGTGGTATTTCAAAATATTCCAGTTGGGAATGGCAGAGGGATATATGTGTTTCCCTTGGCTGAAACGTTTCCTTTATGAAATGTTTCACTTGCTATGTCTGCATGCATCCATGAACAGCATTTGCATGTTAATGACAAACTGTTACCAGCTCTCCTGCTTTTTTGGGAAGACTGCTTCCTAAAACACGTCTGTCCGGAAGACAAGTGTACTTTTTTTTCCATTATAGATGTTCCTCTGCAGAATCTATGGATATGTATTTCAAAGAAATATCTCATGCATGTTAGTGAGGTATGTGCTTAAGTACCTTGCTGAATTGTGGCCCTAGTCTGATATATTATTCAATAATTGTATTTATAACATATTATTTTAAAAATATATCATATTAGGATCCCAACAGATTTCAGCACAGCTACACCAATTTCTACTAGTTAAAAACTATATTGATATGTGTAAGAAAAAGGTGGAGTACAGCCCACATTTGAATAATATTTTACAAATGGAAAATCAATAAAATCCAAAATGAAATATACATTGAAAAGTAGATGGCACAGGGTAGAAAAATATACACATATTTGGATTTGTGTACACTGGGCATGTTTATACGTGCTGCTATGGCACCATTGGTACTGCACCATCATTTAGTGCTTCCTTTTGGAAGTACTAAAATACAGTGCAGTAACAGTCCATACTGTGCCATGTGTGCCACATATGGCTATTTTTAGGCACTACATTCCAAGAGCGATGTGCCATAATGAGGGACTGCGTCGCTACAGGGATGTAGCATCACATGTTGATGCACCCACAGTTAACCGTAAATGTAAATAGCTTACTAAATGCATAGTTATCCATGGAGGCATATTTCCTACATCCAGCTTGCCACTAGTCAACTTTGAAGTAAAAAGACTGTTTCAACTTTTCTCTGTGCTTACCCTGGAGAAAATGAACTAGTCCAAATAGGAGAATTTACCACACCTTCAGCTCTCCTGTGAAATATGAATTTTCATTTCTACCTAGGAAATCTTTTACAATTGTGTTCTTTCCTATGCCTGATGAAGGGAGAGTGTATCCAAAAGCTTGCAGATAAATACAATAATATGTTTGCAAATATTTAGTTGGTCTAATAAAAAATATCACCTCTTCCATGAGTTTTGATTCCTTTTGCTTCTAGACCAATACAGTTATAACCTGGATACCTGGAAACCTAGGGCGTGTTTGATATCTAGCTGCACCAAATTTCTGGGAGAAAAGATTGAGTCAACTAGAATAAATTAAAGGCAAATATGGGACTCTAATTTGAATTTCTCTCCCCCACCTTCATGTGGAGAATGAGAAAGTAGGTCAAGGTGGAGGTAAAATGTATAAAAGAAAGGTGATTTTTCATTTATACACTAAATCACTCAATCAGTGTTTTTTTTGTCTATTTCACAAAAAAAAATAATAATTTTATTAGCCTGATCTCTTGAGTTTGTTTATCACCAATATGCAGTCTCAGCAAGTAAATATGTTTTCAGCTTAGTGAAAGCAAGGTTTGCTTATCTTTGTGGGGGTGCTGTGGGAATAAGTGTATTAAAGGCCTTGCTAAGGAACAGGAAGCAGGGTACATTTGGCTAGGTATAGCATTATTTTATATATATTTTTTAAAGATTAAAGGGTTGGGTTTTTTTATTGATATTTTTTTTTTGTCTTCCTGGTGTCTAAAGATTTTTGCGTCAAGATTTCCCCTTTTTTTTAAAATGAAAGAGTCCTTATAAAGTTGGAACCAGAGAAAGTTTGAAGGAGCAGGGGAGAGGACTCTTTACTAGGCAGGTTTTTGTCCCAAATGTTATCTAGGAGTTGGTAGTGAGGGGCTGTTGGCAAAAAATAAACCCATTGTAGAGACTTGAAATGACCCAAATTCCCTCTTCTCCCACGAGTTGACTTTTCAACCTTGTGTGATGCTATCAGTGCGTTAGCTCTCCATTTCTCCAGCAGATATCCAAATGCTAAGTCGCTCATGCTTCCAACGTAGGAAAGCCAAGCAGAAAAGCAAGGCATACTGGTGGGGATGGAAGGGGAACAAACTTTCAGGCTCTTTTACTGATGAGAGAGAAGCAAAGAATCCCGACAAATGCATCTCGCCCATGCGGGGGGTTTTTTCTGGGATCACTGTTAACGGTTCTAAATGATCTGTGAATATATTCATGCTTTTCTGTTAATTAACAGTATGATAAAACTGGCATTTTGTAAGTTGCCATGTAGTGCGTGTTTTAGTCATTATGCACTCGACGCTCTGGTCTGATTTTGGAATGCTAATAGAATAACATTTTAATGAAGATTTGTTGCTACGAAAAATGCATCGTGAAAAGTTCAGGTGCTGCTCGCATTAAGATGGGGCGGGACATGAAACCGGGTTTCTTCTCTTTATACCGTGCG